GAGAGAGAGAGAGAGAGAGAGAGAGAGAGAGAGAGAGAGAGAGAGAGTGAGTTTTATTCACTACGAGTTTTCCTCTGTCGAGCTATGGTTTGGGGAGGGAGAAATTGAGTTCCTTTTCTCCTGCCCATTTATACATTTTTTTCCCCAAAAGGTCACACATAGGCTAACTTTGTTATCTCTCTTCCCTAGTGGATGGCTGTATTCATAGAGCAGCTGGTCCCTGTTTGTTAGCTGAGTGTCGGAACCTGAATGGCTGTGAGACTGGACATGCAAAAATCACGTGCGGCTATGACCTCCCTGCAAAGTGTGAGTATGGCATGCTTGAACTTCATTTCAGAATCAACTGAGAATGCCAGCCTTGCTTTTTCCCTCAAAAGAATATCTAGAAAAGGAGACAGTTGAGGTGGGATTTAATTAAATATGCTTGTATTCAGACTTAGTGTGTAGGTGCATGTTTATTTATATGATTAACTAGAGAAATTTCTAGTTGTTCAGTTATTTAACAATGTCTCTGAAACAGAGAAATAAAAGTAGGAGCAAAATATACGTTCCAGTATTTAAGCACCACCAGTGACAGCTTCTGGAAATGATGCCAATTTCTCATTCCTTGTTCGGGTTTCTTGATTGTGGATGTGTTTAGAGCAAAGGAGATCAAAGTGATGTATTGTGTTTTCAGCTGCCATGTAAAGGCTGATTGGCAATTACAGCCCAGGCATCTGTCACACTCGGTTCTCAGGAGAAGCCAGTGGAATGTGGTTGTCAGTCCAAGAATGTATTTGCTCTTTGAATGTGGAATGGTCAAATTTTCTATTATATTTGAATAGAAAAATGCACTGCAATTGACTGACCTTGTTGCTTCAGTGTTTAGCCGACTGCGATAGGGTGGTATAAAATAAAATTGAGAGACGTGATTAAAAGTGCACCTTTTAAAATTATATAATTTTCAGAACCTGGAAATGGAGGGAGGTTTTGTGCTACACCATTAAGGTGTGCATTGGCCTGGAAACTGAGACACCAATTTAATCTATGTACTTGCTTCTTAGGATACTGCCCTGCTCTATGAACACATTTTTATGTGAAGACAAGCTACTTTTGTATGTTTGTATTATAGTAGTGAGAATAGCACGACTAAAAACATACAATATAACTTGTGGGATAGTATCGAACACTGTATGGGCAGGGTGTAGAAAAATAAGCCACCCAAGACTATCTGTGAATGGTGACATAGTGTGCTTTTAAGGTAATTTTAAAAATTGTGTGTGTGTGAGTGTGTGTGTCTGTGTGTGTGTGCACACACATGTGTGTTTGTGTTTGTGCAACCCCCCTGTGTACAATGGCATCGGGAGTTTGCACTTTGACTCCTAGCACTGATGATCTGAGTGTTAAAGGTCATTTTTTCGTCTGGATTCTATAGCTCATGTTGACAAACACAGTTTTTTTTGTTTTTTTGTTTTTTTGTTTTTTGTTTTTTGTTTTTTTTGGTTTTTTTTTTTTCTGAGACAGAGTTTCTCTGTGCAGCTTTGCGCCTTTCCTGGAACTTGCTTTTTTAATCTGTCTAACATGATGTTACCTGTGAGCTGCAGCTGACCCATACCACCCCAAGAATGAGCAGATTAATTACTTTCAGACTTGTGTCCATCCTCAAACCCAGTAATAAGTGAGGTCTTCTATTGAATTTACTACTTTCTCTGTATGAAAACAGACATCAAAATTCTTCAACTCTGAGCCTCCTGAACACAGAGAAACTTGGAATCACTACACATGATCAAGTAAAATGATTGTTTATGTGTATTATCTTCTCAGATACAGGAAGCTGGTTTAAATTTACTTACTGCTATTTGGCATGCTTGTGTACAAGATATTCCATTTCCTTTGCATGTCACTCATTTGATTTCCGAGTCATTGAGAATGTACCTAGTGTTAGGCACAAAGGCACAGGGATCAGTAAGGCTCTGTGGATGTTTTAGAAGTTGTCATGTTTGAAAACCCTGTTTGAGCTTTGGTGTGGTGTGTAGCTTTCAGAAGCATTCTGAAACAAATGAGTCTTATGGCCCAAGACTCTAGACATAGAGAATCAGCCTCCAGGACTCAGCACAGAATCCCTACTCCAGTCATTATTATGCAGCTGAATGGCATGAGTGCTGGCGAGATTTTGTGTTAGCCTAACACAGGCTAGAATCATCTGAACGGAGGGACCCTCAACAGAGAAATTGTCTCTATAATGTCAGGCTGCAGACAGGCCTGTAGTGCATTTTCTGAATTAGTGATTGATGTGGGGAGACCCAGGTCATTGTGGGTGAGGCCTGGTGATCCTGGGTGATATAAGAAAGCAGGCTGAGCAAGCTACAAGGAGCAAGTCAGTAAGCAACACTCCTCAATGGCCCCTGTATCACCTCCTGCTTCCAGGTTCCTGCCTTGACTTTCTTTGATTATGAACCGTGATATGGAACTGTAAGCAAAATAAACCCTTTCCTTCTCCCGGTTACTTTTGGTCATGATGTTTCATTAATGAAGACAGTATGTCCAATAAAGAATCATCCAACAGGATAGAAAATAGCAATGCAACATAGCAGCCACCTCATTAAACAAGATAATCAAAGACATGCACTGTCGTGCAAATATCTAGGTGTTTTTTCTGTACTTTAAAAGATTAATGATTGATATTAAAATCACAAAGAAAAGGAATGTGAAATGGAGTAATAATAGCTCACACTTGTATTCCACTTTATGATGTTTCATAGTATTTTCACAAGCCCTTATATTTCAAATTATGCTTTATAAACATTGTGTGTGTTCATTTCCTTTTCCCTATCCCTGGGAGATAGTTTTCTTTCTCATCAATTTGGATCCTCCATTTCAGAGTCATTAACAATCCACAGATGTGCTTTTGTAGTGAGAGAATGAAAAGGGAGCTCATTACATACTGTTTGGGTCATTTTCCCCTCCATATTTAATAATTCTGTGACAGTTTGACAGCAGAGACTAGCTCCTATCTGTCCTCTGAGACACTGGGTTCATCATTATAGGGGCACTAAAGCCAGTCATCCAGCCTCAAGTGATGATATCTTCATGCACCAGCAATTTGTTTGGAAAACGCTTTTGTCTGGGTTACATATAGTATTGGTCATTTTGGACTGCTCTCTACTTTTCTATGCTTGCTAAATTAATTTATTCATGAATGGTTGTATTTGAATTAATTATACTTGTAGTCAGTGTTCTGTGACTTATCATGATGGTGGAATGAAAAGCCCCTGGATGTTCTTTCTTTCACTGCCAGTATGTTTGAATGGTTTCTTTTGATACAACACTAACCAGTCACTTTTCTCAAAAGAAGTCATGGAGGCAAGAATATTGACTAGAATTTCATTGAAATATATTGCTTAGAAAGTGTAAAAAGGGGCCGGGCAGTGGTGGCACATGCCTTTAAGCCTAGCACTCGGGAGGCAGAGGCAGTCGGATCCCTGTGAGTTTGAGGCCAGCCTGGTCTGCAGAGTGAGATCCAGGACAGGCACCAAAACTACACAGAGAAACCCTGTCCCCAAAACAAAACAAACAAACAAAGAAAAAGAAAGTGTTGTACGTGTATTCCTTTATAGAAGCTTTTCACATGAGGGATATTTACATTTCCTTGTCTGTTGTAGAACTCTGTCCTCCAAGCTTTATAGCCATTATTATCTTAGTTAGAGAACTCATGATAAACCAACAACAGGCTCTCATGATTGTTCCTATTGACTGTACTTCATAGCAGGAGGAGTAGAGAGAGTCATTAGATGCTCATCTGAGATCCAGCCACTCCCTCCTACATCCTCTCCAAAGTTGTATATAGTTCTGTCCCTAGTTTCACATGGTCTTGGTATGTGTGAGAATATATAGAGAGCAGAAAGATTAACTGGAGTGTGGACTCCATCTGTGCAGCCATTAACCATGTTAGGGTGTGACTTTTTGGTGATTTTGCTGTTTTGGGTTCACCTAAGCTTCTAGAATCAACATCTTTGTCTGTTTTGGTGCCCCGTCTGCCATAAGTAGAGTTTTGTTTAGGTCTGCCCAAGAAAAGTCCATACAACACTGTCATTGTCATAGTGGCAACATGTGGCATAGTGTTCCAACTTTGTGATTAATTATTGTGAAAGAATGAGGTGCCAAATGAATGATTTTGTTCAGGACTCTTTCATTTGGAAAATAGTTCATTAACTGACTCCTACTTCTCAAGCCTTCCATTTTGTGATCCACTTTGCACAATGCATGTAGGGGTCTATGTCCTCTCATTACAGTGGTCAGCAAGGCTGTGCATGGTGGAGACTTCTCTTTTCCACTGTGGCCTCCTGTAGTCTCTTATAGGCTGTCTTGCTGGTCCTCAATCCTAGATACTATTGTTTCCTTGTCTGGAGTTCTGTTCCAGACTTCTTCATGACTTCCTCCCTTATGTTCTTCACACCCTTGGTAACTGTAACCTCAGGTGTCACCTTAGCTGACATAATTATCCTGGCTCCTCTGCTTCATTTGTAATTGTTGTACTGTAGTATGTTAGCTTCAAATCTGCTATGTTATTACTTTTTGTTTGTAAAACCTCCCTATACCAGAATAAGGATGTAGACTTTGGAGTTGGGATTTATTTCTTTTGTTTTGCAATGTCCATAGAAGTTCTAAAACTGTCCAAAACATGAAAGAGGCTTGAAAGGTATTTCTTGAAAGGGTGAATGGAAATAGACTGCAATCCTTTGACATATCTTTTTTTTTTTTTTAAAGTTAAACATTTGTTAACCTAATTTTCTTCGGCTTTCCAGAATAGGCCACCATATCTTGAACCACTTAAAGTGTCTTGAATGTTATGATTTGCAACATAATTTTGTGGATCTCTGTGGGCTTGTGATTGTCTAGAAAGCTCGCTCTTTCATCTTTTCTACTTATCTTTCAGACTTAACTCATATAGCACCTCTGTTAGGAATGAAGTCATATCACCTCAACTACAAGCTTTTTCTTTTTTCCTTCAGTATATTGCATGTTAATGCTTTGCATGCTGCTTCTTTTCCTTGTTATGCACGTTTCATAGTTGTGTGTGTGAGAGAGAGTGGGTGCATTATAGAGAGCTTGAGGACAGCCTTCTGTGTTGTGTCCACACCTATCTTGTTTTTTAAGACAGGATCTCTCACTGGTTGAGATCTCACTGAGATGAATCTCACTGAGAAGGCCAGGCTGGATGGCCAGTGAGTGCCAGGGCTCCTCCCATCTCCGCTCCCCCAGTGCTGCACAGTCGCACCCCATCACACCTAGCTTTTTAAGATGGGTTCTTGGTATCAAACTCGGGT